CTTTAATCTTGTTTTATAGTTGCTAGCCCATAGTATATTACCGTAATATAAATGTGGGTAAACAAGAGTATGATATAGAGTTATGAGATGTTTTTTATTTAGATAGTGACGAACTTTACAAAGAATGTTAGATACTTTTAATAATTTCTTAGTTATGTAATCAATATGACTTTCCCATGTTAAGTGTTCATCAATTATAATACCAAGGAATTTAGTTTCTTTAGCATTTTGTATAATTTTATCATTAATCTTAAAGGTTAGATTTGCGTTATGTTTTTTCCTGAATGATTTGAATATAATGTAGTTAGTCTTTTTAATATTTAAGGTAAGCTGATTATCCTTAAGCCATGTTTGCACAAGTATAAGTTCATGATTTATTTCTATTTCAAGTTGTTTCGGGTCTTTTCCTGAACGAAATAAATTGGTCTCATCTGCAAACAATATAAACGAAAGATTACTAGAGCAATGTATATCATTGATATATAAAAGAAAAAGTAATGGGCCCAAAACTGTTCCTTGAGGAACTCCACATTTGATCGTTTTTTCAGTTGAGTAAGTTACATTATATTTAACTATCTGTTTTCTGTCAGTCAAGTAGTTTGCAAACCAATCATTGCATATACCTCTAATTCCATAATGATGAAGTTTAGTCAATAAAATTTTATGATTTACGGTGTCAAATGCTTTAGAAAGATCTAAGCAGATACCAACAGTATATTCCCCGTTTTCTATTGCAGTAGATATTTTGTCAACTAGATCAATCATTGCGAGACTTGTTGAGTATTTATTCCGAAATCCGTATTGTTTGTCATAGAGGATATCATGTTTAGTGATGTAGGATGTTAATCGTTTAAACATTATTTTTTCTAGTATTTTTCCAAAACTTGGTAAGACTGAGATAGGTCTATAATTCGTAAATTTGGTTTTGTCACCAGTCTTATAAATGGGTGTAACTAGCGACATTTTTAACTCACGAGGTATAATACCACATGTGAAGGATAGATTGAAAACATGGCACAGTGGTATTGAAATAATATGGGAAATGTGTTTAATAAGTTTGGAACTTATTCCATCGATTCCGCAGCTGCTTTTAGATTTCATAGAGGCAATTATTTCTTCAATTTCTTTGTTTGAGGTGCTTTTTAGAAACATAGATTTTTGATAGTCACCTTGTAGGTGCTTGGTGAAATTGTTAGAATTCTGATCGAACTTCTTAGCTAAATTTGGTCCTACATTAACAAAAAATTCATTAAATCTATTCGCAATTGTGTTTGGATTGTTTATTTCCCTGCCATCTTCTAGAGAAAACCTAGAAGGTAGCTGTTTTCTCTCTCCTTTTTTGCAAATTAATTCATTTAGTATTTTCCATGTACTTTTCAAATCAGCTTTGGCATCATTTAACCGTTTTTGAAAATGCCTTTTCTTGGAGACTCTTATAAGATGGTTTAATTTATTTCGGAATATTTTATACTTCGTTCTATTAAATTCTGTTGGCTTGCATAGAAATTTCCTGTATAATTTAGTTTTCGTTTTCGTGGATTTTATTAGTCCATTAGTTATCCACGGTTTCTTAGGGCATATGTTGTCTTTTAATTTAACCACTTTTATTGGAAAATGTTTGTTAAAAAATCCTTGAAAGGACTTTTGAAACTCTTCATAAGATTTTTCAACGTCAGGTTTTGATAGTGTAGATGACCATGTTTGATTATTTAATTCATTAACAAAGGATTCTCGTGCTGCATCAGGCATTGGTCGAGTTTTACTTAGCTTAACACCTAGCTTATGCAAATGAAGAGCAAATTAAGCAGGCGTTTCCGTCACTTGAAAGTACAATATAACTCATTCACTATGTTGGTTTCGGTTTATGCAAGAATTTTGGCCTATCTCGTCACGTCTGTATTGTATTAACCGCACAACCAATAGCAATGTTTAAATTGAGCATTTGTTCAAGTTACGGATGGATAACTCAACCACAAACTTGTTATTGGTTATTTGAGCGAAAATACAATACACACGAGATAGGACCAAATTTTGCATAAAGCTGGACAGTAAGATAGTTGATGAGTTATATTGTACTTTCATCGAGTCTCCAAACCATCTAACAAGGCAATGAAAACCCACTGATGTCCATAAAATCCCACAATGGAAATTCCAGTGCCATCCAGTAAGATGTTTTTACATGATTGTACCGTTATACAAAGGGCTTATTGAAAAGCTATCAAGACCTACAGTATACTACAGGTATAAAAAACGAGACCTTTAGAAATCAAGGTATTGTTGGAATTTGAATGTACGGCCCTATGCTGGACACACAGTAAAAACTCGTTGCTCTGTGGTCATTTGAACATTTTTATTCGAACTGAGATACGACTTATTTGTAATTTGACAATTTCTGTGCAGTGACGCAACTTATACTCCTTCATACGATTAGCATAAACTGGTCCAGGAGCATTATAAAATCTTGTGCGTAACAACAATAGCTTGATTTCTAAAGGTCTCGTTTTTTATGCACCCTGTACACTGGGTGTATAAAACAACGAGAACTTTAGAAATTAATCTATTGTTGTTAAAGCACAATAGTTTTTGCTCCTGGTAATTAAAAATTCAATTCAATGGACCATTTGCATGATAGACTAAATTTTGATCTAGAAAAAAAATTCATCACAGCTTGAAAGAGCATTACAAAATTAGTAATATTCCAAAGTTTCGTTGCGAAATGTTGTAAAATGCGGATAATATAGCCTTGCGAAATTTGCAATTTTCACAGTCATTTTGTATTACAAACGGGAAATTGATGCCCAACACCCGATTGGGCTGTCAATTTCCCGTGGTGCGTAATACAAAATGACTGAAAAACGGCAAACTTCTAATTTTGTGATGCTCTTTCAAGCTGTGATGAAATTTTTGTCTAGAACAAAGTTTAGTCTATAATGCAAATGTCCATTGTGTTTTCGCATTTTTGCGTTCAGCGTAGTGTAAGACCATTCAAATTATAACAATAAGGTTAATTTCTAAAGGTCTCGTTTTATTTATACACCCTGTATAAATAAAACTAAAGCAGACTTTGATGAAATTTCGTCTCAGCTGCTCATCAACTCAGAGGAGCAAACAAGGGCTCCAGAGATCTCAAGACTGAATATGTCTGAAAGTCCAGAAATCTCTGATGCTTCAATATCGGGAGGAGAAACGTCAGAAGTCGAAGATTTATTACCCGCTTTTGAAAATGAATCTGTCGAAACAACAAACGTAAAACCGACTGTATTATTCCCACAACGTAGGACATCTCTAGAGAAAATTACAAAAACTCGAAAACAATACAGCGAGATGGTTGAAATCGCTTTATTTCAGATGAACGAAACACGAACGGGTTCGTCAAGACAAGCCATCGTGAAATATATCCGTGCGAATTACCAAGTCGGCGACAATGCAAATCGTTATGTGAGTTTGGCAATTGTAAAACTTATCGAGAAAGAAAGAATCGTACGTAAAACTGGTGTTGGGGCGTCGGGCAGCTTTTCCTTGTCGAAAGAAATTCGGGAAGCGATGCGAAAGGGAGTCAATGTTAAACCTAAAGCGAAACCCAAGCCGAAACCGAAGTCAAAAGCCGCTACTAAGGGAACTAAAAAGACCACAACAAGCAAAACAAAAGGCGAAGGGGCGAAAGGCGCGGGTAAAAGTAAAACCAAGGCAAAAGCTGACGAAGAAGGCGGGGATAGCGATAAAGAAAACGAACCGGTGAAGGCCAACAAGGCTACGAAGAAAAATGGCGCGAAAGCATCCACTGGCCGGGCAAAGAAGGAACAAAGCGAAGCGGGAAGTAAAGCTACCAATAAAAAGACGAAGGCGGAAAACAAAGATGGAAAAGAGAAAGGCAAAGCAAGCGAAAAAGAGACCAAGCCATCGAAGACAACGACGAGTAAAGCCAAACCGAAAGCGACTGTCGCGAAGGAAAGCAAGGAGAGCCAGCCGAGCAAAGCGAAGGGAAAAGCCGAGGGAAAAGCTCCTGCAAAGCCAAAGCCGGGCAAGGAGAAAGAAGCGAGCGGCGCTCCTAGCAAGAAATCTGCTCAAACAAAGAACACGAAAAAGAACGAGGATAAACCAGTGAGGCAGAGAGCTAAAAGTTAGAACCTTTCTCAAACGTATCCTAGCCAGTACATGCATGCATGACTGCGAAATGATTATCATTTCAGACGTGTATTGGTCCCTGACAGAGTTCGTTTTAATGATCTATTTTGTATATTTGGCTTTACCTACAAAAACTCAAGGCATGCATATACGGCCATATACTGTATATAGTTAGACCGCAGTTTATTTGCTTTATTATTAATTTCTATTTTATCAGTAATTTCTATAGTTTGTTTGTAACACCTACAAACACGACTGCATATGTTTTTCATTAAAATGTATAAAATGTCTTGTATAATTGTATAAAAGATTTTAAAAAAATTATGTACGTCTACAATGCCAAATAGAACGATTTAAATGTACAGTGGATATTAGTTAATGTAAATATATACTTCAGACAATAATATGTAGTAAAAATTTAATGAACAGCTAGCCTATAATGATTCATTTGTTAAAATTCATGTATGTAGAAGTCAATTCAATAAAACGTAACTTCGAATTCGGCGTGTTTTGCTTCTTTTGATAATTTTCACTGAATAGCAGTGGTTTTTGGTCTCTCCGGTTCGGATCCAGTCGATTGGGTCGAAATTCTCAAAAATAGTTCACAAATAATTTTTAAAATTTATACCACAATTGTGGTTAACTGGCATAGATATCTTGTATACACTAGATAGTGCATCTAATTATTGTACAATTCAAAAATTGAAGCCATGATTGCAGACTCAGGATATTCTCATGAAATGAGAAGATTCGTATGTTTTCTATTTCTTAAACACGGAACTTGAATATTAAGGTAAACCTATTCCAAATACATTTTTAAACTATTCAAATGATGAAAGTTATTGTTGTTTTTTAAGCGTTTATTAGCAAGTGGGAAACTTCAACATGGCTGCCACTATTCAAATGGGGATAACCGCTGGAATATTCTTGGCTTCAATTTTACTAAAAGAGATGCGCTGGCAATTATGAAAGTGAGAAAATAGTATTAATTCTTTTCCGATTCTGTGTAGTAGTTGTGTATTTGCATGATTAATAAAATAGGAAATATAGTTTAAACTTCTTGCTCCCTTACTCCCTATAACGCGCGTTTATCACAGTGCTTATGTGCGGAAAATTAGCATTTTAGTCGCGTTCGAAGATTAACGATGGTTTCCGAGAAATTCCGAAGCTCGCGCGAGCTTATGGCGGCGAGAGTTTTAAAATATTTTTATAAAATGGTAGTTTTTTGAGAAAAGAAAACAAAAAAACAAAATTAAAAAAACAATGGAAGACGTAGAAGAATTATCACAAAGAGGTGAAATATTTCGCTCGAAACTTATCGAAGATTTTCAACTATTGGACACTCTGAAATCAAAAGGAAACATTGAATCGCCAAGGTTTTATTCAAACGAGATTCAAGGTATTAACTATAGTTTTCTTCCCTTTCTAAACTAAAGAAAGAAAAAGACGTATATGTATTGTCTATGTAAAACAATTTTTGTTATGTATTTTCGCAATTATGCAATTTTATTTAACATTTTGTGTTCAGTTTTGCTAATTTTTGCATTTTACAGGTTATATTGTGTGCTGATTTTTACTTTTGAATTTTATTTCTTGTGCCTAGGGCTAGGGTGATTTTTTCGCTTTTCGAAATGTTTATGGATTTTCCTTTCGTATTTTATAAAAAATAGAATACTATTCACACTGGACTACCACCTTTGAGATATCTTTTTTCAGATAATTCAGACACAAACCACGACAGACTCTTGTAGAATACTACCAATACTACATACACTGGACCATCACGTTTGGGATATCTTTTTCACATAGTTCAGACACAAACCACGACAGCTTATTGTAGAACACTACCTAATATACAATGGACCTCCACGTTTGAGATATCTTTTATAGTTCAGACACAAACCACGACAGCTTATTGAGTTATTGTTGAATTCTACCTACGCTGGATTTGTTCACCAAATGGCAATGCCAATGTTTTTATCTCTTCGTTCTCATAAATGCAATATGTGCAGTTGACCCCACAGTGTAACATTTTAAAATTTGGCACTTTAAAAACAACGCTCCAAACTTTTCTAGATCCAGAGATCATGGATAAACTGTTAAAGGAATCGCCCTTCAGCTTGGTGAAGTTTCAAGTGTCAAAAAGGGAGGAAATAAAATTTAATGATCGCAGACTAAATCGTGTTCGAAACAAAAGTCGTATTCCGTTTGGGCCATGGGCTCGTTCTGTTGCTGAAAGTACGTATATAAATGAAATTTACATGCAAACCAATCCGACTTTATATGGCTTACATTTGTTTATAGCGCACATAGAAAAACATTTCAGCTCAAAATGTTGTGGAACTTTTAACTTTACAGATGCACAAGTCCAAAATTTCATCATGTTTTTGATCATTACCAACAGCATTATCCTTGGAGTACAAGCAGGTACATGCATACGTATACAGCTCATCAAGATATCTATGATACAGCTATTTCAATCAAGGTTGTCCCCCGAGCAAAGCGGAAAAGTCGAATACTAGCGCGAAAGGCTGCTGGGAATCGCTAATAAATGAATGAATTTATTAGCGATTCCCAGCAGCCTTTCGCGCTCGTATTCGACTTTTCCGCTTTGCTCGGGGAACAACCTTAATTCAAATAGCTGTATACATACATGATACACCATCAGCCTCTCGCTGGACGCTGACCAGGCCTGTTTTATATACGCCGAATGTCGGTCGCGTCGAATGCAATTCAAACAATAGTAATGAAGCTTAGACCCCGTTTACACGGTACCGGACGAATTTGGGACCGGACGAAAATTCGTCCTTTTTCGCCTGTTTACACGCGAATTCGTCCTGTTAGGGGGTCTCAAATTCGTCCGGTTCCGTGGTTCTCGTGTGTTTACACGGACGAAACGGACGAATTTTCGTCCGGTCACAAATTCGTCCGGTACCGTGTAAACGGGGTCTTAATGAGGTTTATCATCTCATTATCTATTGTCTTAATTAGCCTTTCTCACGATGAGGAATATCTGTCCAAAATGACCATCTTTCGTCCAAAAAATTAGACAAAGTCGCTGTTATGTGGACTTATCTCGCGGACTTCGGCTGAAATGCTGCCCAAAAATGGCGGCGTGAAAAAAGCTAATTGCATTCGACGCGACCAAAATTCGACGTATAAAACAGGCCTTACTGATACCTGTCGTGGTGGTGGCCAGTCTGTCTTTGGTGGAGGCCAAATCATAATCTCGCTATCGTATTGTATTGCATTGCATTGTACTTAACTAATCTGTTGCATTGCATTGCATTGCATTGCATTGCATTGTACTTAACTAATCTGTTGCATTGCATTGCATTGCATTGCATTGCATTGCATTGCATTGCATTGCATTGCATTGCATTGCATTGCATTGCATTGCATTGCATTGCATTGCATTGCATTGCATTGCATTGCATTGCATTGATTAGGTTGCATTGGTTGCAGTGCATTGTATTCTTAAATTAACTTTATTTAATGTACCAACTCTTAAAGCGACCACAGTAATTGGTGTATACTGTTGTGGTGACCCTGCCACTCGTATATCTTAAGTGGCGAAGTTTAATAAATAAATAAATATATACATACATACTCATAGACTACATCAGTTGGTTTCCGCGAGGGACTTGTAAATGAGTGCAAACTTACAATACAAAACATGATAGGAATATTACAAGGGTACTCTCTACATGATACAATAAAAAGACAAAAGATAAAAATAAACGAGTCAGCTTATGGATGCAGTGCTTCTGCCTCATAACTAAGGAAGATTGTTCCAAAATACAGCATGCATCACTGCAGCCGAAGCACCTTTTGCCAAATTCTTTCTTCGGCTTAGGAAATGCTAAATCAGTTTCTGTATTTCCCAGGTTGTATATGTGTTACCGGTTCAGGGTCGTCGCTAGGAGGGGGGGAGGAGGGGGTGTTTGGGATCTGACACCCCCTGAAAACATCTTGTCGGCAAAATAAAGGATTTTGTCGGCAAATACAAAACCACACACCCCTTGCTTAAGCCTCTTCGAGACTGCCCTGTACTTGTTTCATTGTTTAGTCGAAAATATTTTTTTGGGTTGGGGGTGTGGCCATTAAGAATTTTATATACTTAAGGAAGTTCTAAAATTTAGATTTTTAATAGTCCCTTGATGTTCCTGGTAGTGGAAGTCAAATATCTCTATTTGTCGTCAGGTGGCAATAAGCGTCACCTTAATAAGCTTTCAACTTTGAGCAATGTCCTTCGCCATTGAATGAAATGATGATTGGCAACGCCCTTAAGCCCCGTTTACACACGAGCAAATTTTATTTGACCAATTTCATATGTCATAAGATATTTTGCTCGCGTATCAAATGAAATTTGTGACAAATTTATCATCGACACGAGCAAAATATGTAAAATTTGTTAAATATATAAAATTTGCTCGTTTAAACGAGGCTTTAGTTTAAGTTTTAAGTAATGTGTATGGTAACAATTTCGGCGGTGAGGGGCGCTTACTCTGACAATAGAGACCTTAAGATTGACGTTTACGGCAAACGTCAAACCGCTAGCGAGGTGTTTAATTTTACAACTCTATTATTATAGCTTTTACACCAGTTTTGAAATATGTTAAACTTATTAAACTTGTGCTCTTTAGCAATGATTTAAGAAAGCAAA